TATATATAGTGATGCTTGAAATTGAATATCTCATCGAACTACTGCGAATTTGAAATTTTACGAGTTCTATGAATAATAGAGTATATAACAGCGATGTATGCATCACATAGTAAATTATACATAGTAGATTTAATTAGATATGGTATAATTGGAATTTATTTGCAGTTCGATTTGTGCCTAATTTGAAGCCGATCTAATAAAGGATACAATTCAAATTGAAATTTAGATTCCTCAAACGTGCACCGTGTTCATCGAGCCGACGTGCACGCAATTTCACGTGATTACAATCTGCACGGGTTGTTAATGTTACATTTCGCGTTTATATCTATTCCGTTTGCTATTTCATATCTAACGATACATTTTACGCGTACAGACGAATAATCTGTTTTCACGTATCTACCCAAATAACTTCTCGTTTCGTTTATACAAATTTCCCAATGCTTGCTTTTTTATCGAATAAATTGCTTCGATAAAAAAAAAAGAGAGAAAGAAGAGAGAGAAAGGAAGAAGAAATTCTCCAGATCCAGTTGAAAAAAAAGAAAAAACATTAATTGCACCGAAACGAGTGGAAAAATCGTTCTGTTCGTCGGCAAATAAGCGATTACACGATGACAGACAATAGCGAAAGTAGTCGGACAAGCGAGATAAGATAATTATGGGCGGTAAAAAATAGAATAGAGACCCTCAGAGGGTCAGACAAGCGGAATAAAACCGATATACAACGAAACCAGTCATGGCACCGGACAAAATCTTCCGGTTCACGAGACACTTTTCCAGCCAAAACGTACGTCGATTTGGGCCAGCAAAACTCCGAACGATGCATCACCCAGCTCTGGTATATACATATATTATATACGTATGTGTATCGTTTCGAAAATGCCCATACACCGAGTTCGAAGGGAAGTCGAGCATCCTATTCGAGGATTAATCTGGCAACAAAAACGATTTTCGAATTGCATCCTCTCTCTCCAAAGCGATTCGTTATCGCGCGATTAACGCGAGTGGACGCGAGCTTAATTTCAGCTAAGCTCGAGGAAAAGTTGGGCCGGCTAATGAAGACCGATTGCCGGACAGCAACTAGGGCGTGAGCTTTTATCGCGCCCCCTAATTGGATTAGAGAAAATAATTCCCGCTTCCGTACCATTGCGCCCACGATAACGCGCCGACCGTATGCTAATTTTTTCCTAATGGACCCCCAACTCGACCATTCTTTCCACGATTCTTTCACATTCTTTCGTAGGGAGTCGATTCGAATTTATCGATCGACCGGTTTTGCACGTATTTTAAACGAGAAATATAAATCGAGGTATAAATTTGATTAAATTTGTGAAAAGAGAGATAGTTCTGGAGAAGAAGTATTCGTTGTTTTCCCCTTTCGAAATTTAATTCGTTTCAGAGAATTAATCATTTCGATACTCATTTACTGGATGCCAGAATAAAGAGAATTCCGAACTTTGGAATTACGATTTTGATTTAAAAATCTCTGCCAATTTTTCTGCTCAAAGTATAACAGGGATCGACGTTTTCACGGGGAAAATTATCTGGATATTGACGGGCGTTTGATTCCGTGGGGGCGACTTGTGGCAGTCAAGTCCTCGGCAAGGGAGAGACGAGTGATCGAGAAGCGCCACGTCGAATCGACGCTCGAATAAACGTTGAATTTTAGCTATCTATCAGGGTCCAGGACTCGTTCCAGACCGTCCCTGCCGACTAAATCGCCACCTTCATCGACATTTAATTTCCCTTTGACCTTTGGCCAACGCGTAAATTCACCCCTCAGGTTAAATGGAATTTTTTCCCCGACAGGGAAAATAATCTTTCGGTCATGCGTCGCTAATGAAAATGATGGTACTCTTGTAAATCTTATTGCCGAGAGGATAGAGCTTTTTAGCTCGTGTTATGTTAAACAAAATTGTCGGTTAGTTTTTAATTACATTCTTCGGTAATTTTAAAATTTGCTATGTTTTTGGCAAATCGAATAATTTGTTTCGAGAGAATTGTAACGATTTTTTAAAAATTTGTTATACTTTTAAGACGTAGAGAATCACGTTAATATTTAAATATATATCTTGTTTAAGAATGTAGTTTTTGGATTTGATGAAGATGATGGTCGAAGAGAACATTTGTATTGTCGATCGAAGTTTTGGTAAGTGGATTATTTTGTTCCGAGAGAATTACAAAATTTTTTTAAGACGTAGAGAATCACGTTAATATATATTTTGTTTAAGAATGTGTCGAAGAGAATATTTGTATTGTCGATCGATTTTCCCTTCGAAACATATTGATATTTGTTTCTCATAATTTATTCACGTGACTGAACAGCAGCCACACAATCAGCAATGGATTAAACGTGTCAATTATTCACAGGGATGATTAAAACAGTGAGAGAACGAATATTTTCATGCCAACTTTAATTTATCGTACGTTATACAATTACCGTTCGATTAATTGAAATGGCAGCATAAAAAAAAAATTGTTGAAAAAAACGGACGCCATATTTTTCGACAAAAAAAAAAAAAAATCCGTGGAATTAATGCATCGTTAATTTCTTTACATCTCTCATCGATGAATCGCGCAATGGTGGTGGCTGCTCTGTGCTCGTTAATCGTGGAACTTTTCATTCGCCTGTGTTTGCGAATAAATTTAATCATTGCCAAAGGGCGAGAAGAACGAATAAAAGGAAGAATTTTCAGGGAATAAGAGAATAACTCAGTGGCGGGTTTCTAACGCTCGCGAATGCATAAATTTCATGAGCGACTGCCTCGAATAAATTGGCTAACCCACTGAACGATACAGTTCACTGAATAATTATATTTTATCTAACGTGGAGGGTGAGTCTGAATTAAATATCTTGAACGATCCATCGATACATCGACCGAATCGATTTTTCTTCTAGTTGACATAAATTTTAGATTGTGATATGTTTCTTTCTTTCTTTCTTTTTTTTTTTATTTTTATTTTATCATGAAATAATTTATCAAAAATGTAGAGTTATCGATTGTGATCGTTTAAAAATTTGAAAATATCAGATTTTTGGAATTCTTCTTTTTGCGAAGAGGAATAATTCGTAATTATCGTAATGCGTTTTGATTAAATATTGTGTAATCATTGTAAGATTAATGGGAATATTATTTTTGAACTTTTTGGCGAAATTTTTGGGCGAAGTATTTCACGCGTTTATAACGTGTATACATGTTTAAAATGTTTCGAAATATTTTGTGTGTGTTTGTTTACTCATGCATGCGCGGAATTTAAACTCGGGAATAATTCAAATTGTTCTTCTTTCGAGGAAAAATTTTTCTGTTTTTCGATTGTATTATGTATGAACTTGGAGCAAGCAAGTATAAATTGGAATATTAGGAGGAAGAGAAAAGGAAAGAGTATTGATTCTCGATACGATTTTTTTTTTTAGGAAAATTAATTTCCTAAATCTCTATAATAATATTATTTTTAATGATTATTTTTAATGATTATTAAATAATATATAGTTCCTCTTATCTAATCTTTCTATCAAATTTTACTATTTTCATCTCGTATATTTTCTTATATCGTTGATGAATTTCATTCTTTTAAATTCATCTTTCAGAAACATTGCACCTTCGGGTAAAATATGATTATTTATGCATTTACGAAAATTTCAAAACTGCAAAAATGTATAGAAACTGAATAGTATAAGGTAAGTGTATATAATATATATATATATATATATATAAAATAAAGTATTAGTTATAATATTTAATAAGAAAAATGAATTTAAGTTTAATTTATTATTTACTTCAATGTAAAACATATTAATACATATTAATAAATTAAAATTTAAATTTAATAAATTATTATTCAATATGCAGTGGTTACAAACATAAGGTACATACAAAATTTGTATCTTATTAATATAAAATCTTTATAATGAAAATTCTACTACTATTAAATTATATTATTTATACATTAATGTAAAATTCAATCTTCTCGTAACCACCACATCCGATTATCTTTCTTCATTCAATTCAAAAACATTCAAAAACATCCCAATTCTTATTCATAATATATTAATACAAATATTTTCTGCAACCATTACATCTGACTGCCCTTTTTCAATTCAAATCCAATTCTCCAAACAAGTCACAATATCTCCATCCACTCACGATATCACAAACTTTTCGTAACCACTACATCTGTCTCTTTTCATTCAATCCAACAAGGTCACAATTCTTATTCACATATATCGATACAAATACTTTTTGCAACCGCTACATCCGACTACCCACCCTTCTTCGACTCGCGATATCAAAAGCCTCTTGTAACCGCTATCCTTCTTCGATTCGAATTCAATCAATATAAAGATCACAATATCCTCGTCCACTTAGGTTATCGCTATCAAATACCTTTTGTAATACCTTCTTCGATTCAAATTCACCTCGTTCCGCAAAGAGATCACAATATCCCCGCCCACCCCTCGCAATATCAGTGAAATCATCGCGATTTCCTTGGATCGAGCAGCCGAGTTCACCCCCTTCTCGCTCGCGCGCGACCCCGAAAAAAAGGAACTGGAAACGATCGCATTTAAATGACAAAGGGACCATTCATTTTTGCTGGACGGCCTACTTTTTGGCCCCGTGTACGCAAACGGAAAGTACACGGGAACTTCTAGCATCTCTATTGTCTCGCGATGCAAATTTCTCCCTCCCACCCCCTGGACAGGCGGAGATTACAAGAAGAGTCGCAATACTCGCTTCCACCCCCCTTCTCGTCACTCGACCGTGCATCCGCGCGTGTGTGCGTGCGTGTGTGTGGGGCTACATTATGCACCCGTAACCGGGGTTCGCCTTTTTCTCGTTCTTTTTTCTTCCTTTTTTTTTTTTTCAAGCAAAGCAACCGAAATATTTCTACGCCCGGCCTCGCCGTTGAAATATCTTAATTACGGTGACGCTTTTTAATGTAATCTTAGAGCCATTAAAAAATGGCGCAACCCGTGGTGATATATGATACGAAAACGTTGTGGAAATGAGAATATTTTTGGGAGGTAAAAGGCGTTTATGCGTAGAGAAGAGATGTTTTTTTTTAAAAGGTAAAATTTGTGAATTGAAAGTGACGGTGAATATATATATATATATGTATATTTTGTTTTGTTTTCTTGTTTTGCGTAGTGGTTAATGTGAATGGTTATGAACTTTTCTGATGGATGGTAAAGAAAGTGAAAGAGAAATTTTGGGGAAGTTTTAAAAATTGTACATTTCAAGAGTAATGTTTCTATCTCTCGGATAGCATGAGTCTAGTCTATATAAAGTCATTGATGTGCATTTTTGAATTTTGTAATTTTTGTCTTTCTTATATCCTTTGTATTCCTTTCGATTTTTGGTGTATCGAGCATTGAATATCGAATCTTTTCACGAAGTAAACCAAAGAGAATAAATAGTTGCTACGCGCCAGAGAAATTTATCAGAGAAACAGTATCTTCGTTGCGAAAGGTAAAAGTTTTATTTCTGCACACCTCGGTGCATCCATTTCTGTCGCGTCGTTAATTACGAACGGCCAGAAGAAGAAAAGAATTCGAGTCGAAAAATGGCGCGAAATGATTTTCAGTTCCCTTGGAAAAGAATTACCACGTAATGGAAATCCTTTTCAACGATACGGATTTTCCTCGTAGCTTTTTCCACACGTGCTCGACCACGGGAATAGAAAGCATATCGCGGCTAAAAACAAAATTATTTTCACTTTTCCACCATACCGTCGTACCGATTATTCAAACCGATTTTTGTGGACGTTGTTATTATTTTCGAGAAAAGAAATTTGCGCGATAAATAGATAAGCTTGAAAACAGGATCTTAATTGTTCTTATTTAATTAAAAAAAAAAAAAAAAAGAAAAAGTACGAAAAACTATTAGAATTTTTGTTCTATATTTATTATTTTAATGATCACTAGCATTATAAATATATTATTATAGGATTATAGTTGTAATGTACATTTTATTTATAATTAACAATATATTTCAGTATACTTAATTACCTATGACTATGAATGTTTGTATGCAAGTTGAAATTTGTATGAAATTTAATAGAGATTTGTCTCTATTCTTTAAATATCATAATTATGCAAATATCATTTTGAGTATTTTGTGTATATTTTTGTACGTTTGTTATCTAGAATACATTAGAAACGATACTTATAAATTTGTGTCCAATATTTTTATATTTGAAAAATTGTATTCCATTCATTGCAATTTTTCTCTACACAACAAAAAATTCCAATACAAAACACACATTTAATATGCAGGTACACGTATACATCTCGGGGAGAAAAAGTGGAAGCACACTGTTCGAATTAATCAATGTTCCTCGAAGCCAGTTCTGTAGAGGAAGTGTCTCTGTCCAAAAAAGAGAAATGCTCGCCCCGACGATTTGTCTTCAGTCGTCTCCAAATTGCATCGCGATATTTCCTCGGCTGGAACGAGGCGAATTTCAGCCGGCTCGATTTCCTCTATCGATTCACATCGCTTATTCACCACGAAATTAGGCGGTCGATGATTACGGCGAATAAAAATTATAACACCGCAGCCAAGCCTGCGCGAGACTTTAATTAAGTTTTAATGCGGCGTATATCCGCGCGTATTTCCACCTTTGTGATCCACTGGCTGGCTAATTTCCCTGAGTAATTTCGCGCGAGGGAAAACAGTGCGTCTCCACTGCACATAAGGGATGAAACACAAAAGAATGTTGATCTATTTTTAATTTTTTAAATCAAGGTAATTCGATATTCCTTTTATCCATTTATATTTGATAAAAACTATCTCCAGATTAGATTTCTCTGCCGTTTCATATTTTATTTCCTCGGATTAAAAATATTTTTTTATAAAATTCCTCTTCGTTTCTTCTTTGATAAGGAATTTTCATCTTGATGAGAAAATTTTTCCAATTTCTCTTCTTGTTCTTGAATTTGAAATTCACAAGTAGTTTTTCGTTCTTAATAATCGATATGCGTGATCGACTAATAAAAATAATAGAAGAAGAAACGAGGAGAAAGTATCAATGATTTAACGTCTCTTGCCCGATCATAACCGATTTATTCCACTCTCCTTATCTCTTC